TCCAATCGACCCCAGACTCGCTCCTAAGCCTTCATTCACGTCCTAGGACCTGAAATATCACAAACAAGCACAACCTACCGTGAAATCGGCCTAAAACACGAGAATCAACACCTCAAACGGTGTAAGAATGGGGGTAAAAACATGTGTAAATGACGGTCTATCAAACTCCCCCACACTTAACCGTTTGCTTGTCCCCAAGCAAACCTAACTCAAACCAATGCAACTCTCCAGACCTCTATAGCAACAAACACCCCAGATCGTAGGTAGAGGACTTCCTAGATCATTTAGCACCTTACGAGGTCAACCGACGCACAAGTCATCTCATAACTTCTTCGGCGAGTCGGCATCATGGCAAATAGTGAACAGAGGACAAATGAATTGTGGATGAGGAGATTCTCAAAAACAACAGATCATGGACTCACATTTTTCAAGGTGCTCTATTTTCTGCTTCTTGAAGATGGTTGAGACCCCTTTTTTTCTGTTTTGCTTGTTTTCTGATATTTTTCTTTTCTTTTCTTTTTCAAGGGTCCCAACCTGCTCTTACCGGCCATGCCAGGAGCGGATGTCTCGAGCCTCGTGCGGGGGAAAGACATGTAAGGGGGCTGGAGGTAGTAGGTGGAAATTGGGAACGAATTCCCGTCTCCCCTTACACACTTTCGCCCTATTCACACGGGAGACGTTTATTTTGAAGCACATTTTTGAGCACCTGTTATTTTCAAAACATGATACAAGAGTCCATGACAGGTAGAGAATCCACAACACCACACAATTCAAGGGTCCTAAGATCACTAATTCACTCAATCAACCAACTCAATATGAAGAAGAAATAAGACTTCGTAAATGCATCAACATCCTCCATAGTGCTACACTACCTCCCTAGGTTGCATATTACTATAAAGACTGTCAATTCAAAGCATACTGAGCAGGCAATTGCATGGAACACGTACTTGGAGCCCTCAAATCGAAATTTGGACAGTGGACTAGGCTCCAAGACACAAACAGTCAAACATTCACACACATACATAATCGAACATCCCCCCACACTTAAGCACGACATTGTCCTCAATGGAGGAAAGATAAGGAGGGTAGAACGAAGTTACCATATCAACGGTGAATGATTGTGGACGGGGAAGGCGGTGCATTCCAGGAGGACAAAGTAGTCGAAACACAAACACCACACAAAATCTCACAAAGGTTGAATTATTGACTCTGAAATCAAAGAACAAAACTGACTCAACCGAAGAGAAATAGAGAAAGAGATGCAAACCGACTGGTTGGGTTGCCTCCCAACAAGCGCTTCTTTCACGTCGTGAGCCGGACGATGGCTCCTAAGTTTCGGTCCATGAGAGAACCTCCTTGAAGTTGAGGTTCTCGTCGATGAGGTGGAGTCTCAAGTCATGAGCATGTGATGTGGCAGGTGATGAAGGCTCATGTACTTGATGCAGATGAAGTCTCCACCCTCGAGACCTCTCCTTCTCTTCTCTCGTCTCATTGCCCCAAACCAGATATGACAGCATCGATTGGCCACCATCGCGTCCACCAAGAAGGACCGATGTCGAGGTGGCCTTGGTCTGGCAAAGAGACACTGCAAATGGGTCCTTGCTAAGCAGTTCCTCGAAGTTTGGTGGAGATATCACATGTAACTCATGGCCGGTGCAGGCCTCTTCCACCTTAACTCCGTCCTCAGCCTGGACGCCAATTGCTTCTTCAACCTCCCTAACTTGTTCGCGTGGTATCACCCCTGGGAAATGATCAAGAACTCCTCCTGCTTCACTTTCGTCATCCTCCACAACTTCTTTCTGCACCCTTTCTTGCTCTTCTTCTTCTAGCACGGATTGGAGAGCAAGTTGCCAAGCAATTTCTTTCATGAGATCTTCTTGCATCTCCTCACTCATGCCCGCCTCTTCAAAGCTCAGTTTGGGGTGTGGGAAGGTGTGGTCGGCTACGACATGACAGGCCTGATCATGATCATCACGGGAGCTCTCCGTGACAACTTCAGTGTGTTCCACAATGCCCTTGTAGCCTTCTTCTTCCTCCTCCTCTTCTTGTATGGTAGCAGAAGGGTGATCTGGAGCAGGTTGCGCCCAAGATCGCTCAAGATCATCGACGCTCTTCTTAAGGCTCAGGAGGATCTCATCTGTTTCACGATAGGCCTGGACACACTGATCCATCCTGGAGCATGTTCTCTCACAGTCTCGAGCATACTGCTCCATGAGTAACTCCAGTGCCGATGGCCCTTCTGGTTGTGGGAGAAATTCTTCTTGATAATGAGGTTGTTCTTGATATGCCCAGGGGTCCGGTTGTTCTCCGTAGTAAGGGGGTTGGTACTGGAACCCGAATCCATAGTCTTCTCCGCCTTGATTGCTCCACGGAGTCTCGGGGTAATACCACCCAGATGGTGGTGGATACCCCCAATGATTGGAGAAGCCATTAGGATCCATGATTCAGATCTGCACCAACAAAAACAAAAACACCCAAGTGAAAAGCAAGGGTGGAAAAGAAAAGAAACGAAAAACGCTAAAGTAACAAACTTCTGCCTTTCCTAATAATCTAGAAAGTCCCCGGCAACGGCGCCAAAAACTTGATGCTCTAAAACACAACTCCTAACAATGGCCAAGTGTAACCAATGGAAGGGACTGCAGTATAGTGGCTCAAGTGATAAATATCGAATCCACGGGTCTCTAGAGTTACTATTACTCAGCTTCAGTTTATTATTTAGCAAACCAGATTAAGATAAAAGAACTAAAACTACTCTAGCAAACTACAGTTAAAGTTAATCTAATTACAGGTTGGGAACTCACTTAGGTATGATTCCCCCTAGCCACTAGCCAGATTAATGATTGATGATCTCTAACCCGTTTCACTTTCATTCACAATGCGGAGAATCCTTGACTAGACCTTGAGTCTCGACTAAAGGAACAAGGCCCTCTTGAGTCAATTGCCTAGAGGGACGTATCCTTCTCTAGAACAACTGATCAAGGCGTTCTAAACTAGACTCCCTCTATCGAAAGGGGTTCTCAATCGATACAAAGCAGTGAATCAACCCTCGACTAAAGCAATCGATCCACTACTATCAATCTATGGTGCTCTATTGACCTAATCAGGTATTCCCTCTCATAGAATCAAAGCAGAATCAATAATCTCGACTAAAGCAGAATTGAATCATGAAAACATGCATAGATTGAATATGAACTCAAGATCATCCAGTCAGAGTACTCATACAATCATCCAATCAAACGAACATAGCTAGGGTTCCTCAAAACCTAAGTGAAGGGAAGTTACTCCATAGAGAAGAGAGAGACTGCAGTAAGAATCTTCAGATGATCAGTCTTCAAGTCCGGGCTTGTTCCTCGAGCTTCCAAGGCGAAGAAATCCTCCTTCTCTACTCCAAGAATGCCCTCAAATCGCCCTCTCTCTCTAGGGTTCGTCCCTTGGGTGTTTGGGATCCAAAACCCAGCTCTCTCTCTTCTTTGGTTCGGAATTTGGCTTAAAACCAGGAAATCCCGACTCGCACGGCCAGGGTGCACGGCCGTGCACATCACCATTCTGGCCGTGCACCTCAAAACGCGGCGTATCAATTAGTTGAACCTCAGCCAACTCGCACGGCCAGAATTGTATGTTGCACGGCCGTGCGGATTTCACTTGTGCCCGTGCGTGCCCACGCACAATCCCGCACGGCCAAACTGGTCACTTGCACGGCCGTGCGTGGCCACGTACAATCCCGTGCGTGCCCACGCACGATCCCGCACGGCCAAACTGGTCACTTGCACGGCCGTGCGGGTTGTGGGTGTGCCCGTGCGACTTCCTCAGAACCTCGCCATGCGTCCGATCCTCGTCCAATCGACCCCAGACTCGCTCCTAAGCCTTCATTCACGTCCTAGGACCTGAAATATCACAAACAAGCACAACCTACCGTGAAATCGGCCTAAAACACGAGAATCAACACCTCAAACGGTGTAAGAATGGGGGTAAAAACATGTGTAAATGACGGTCTATCAGTATATCAATGCACAATTTGGAACTTAATGGGAGTGTTGTTAATCATGATAGGGCAAAGTTAAATGAAAAACTTGATAATTCATTGAGTACACACTTGTTTTTTTTTCCGTTGAATCAGTTCCCATTTTATTACAAAAACAAGAAACTGCAAAATGCACGCTGATACAATGAAGGGGAAAGTATAAGACTCACCCCGTGACCACTACTCAATTTAAGTCTATAGCTTTACAATCATCCTAGAGTACTGATGATGAGGAAACAAAGTAAAAGAACTCTCTCTTCCATAAGTCCTGCACTACTGCCGCAGTTCTAGGGACCTCACCATGCACTCTCCAACACCTTTCCTGCCAGATGAAGGTAATCAGAAAGCACCAGATTGGACCTATGGAGTTATTCACCGAGAGTTTTAAACAAGCTTTTTGGGTTGGGTACCAATGACTAAAAATTCCTTGCATCTCAAGTCACATGTTGTGGTGGCCATTTTGATAGCCAACATCGATATTTTCTTATGCACATTTTTTCAATCTCTTCTTTAGCTTGATTATTATTTAGGCCTGATTTGTGCCAGGCTGTTGGTGAAGCTCCACAGACCGCACATGGACTTCGATAGAGGGCGGTCGTGTCGTGCCCTGCAAGGAAATGTTATCAGGGGAAGCGTGTGACCTCTTCCGATGCTTAAGTCAGTGAGAGAAGTAGAGTATAGTAAATTAGAGAGAGAAAACTCAGTGGGTTTCGTCACGTGGTCCCGCAAGTTGGATTCTCCGCGGTATAAGGAATACTTCTTCACGCGTCCTTCATGCGGTGGGTTCCTAGGAAGCTTGGTGTGCCCTAAGTCAATTTCCTCAGTCAGTGAAGGATCCTGTAGCCCGCCTTATAAAGGGCGTTCAGTTGCGTGTATGATCCAGCGGTTCTGAGAGCGCATACCAGCATGTTCGGGGTTTTTATGATCAGCAGAAATTTTTTCTTAAGTTTATGCTTCACCCTTTCATGTGATTTTACTTATGCTTCTTTCTTCTAGGTTTGAAGGAGTTGGCCGATGTAATAGGCCAAATAAGAAGAAGAAGGCAGTGAAGACCGCGAAGACTGATGGTGCGTCTTCCTCGGTTGTGGTTGCAGGAAAAACATTGCCCGTGGTCTCGTCTTCGCAAGCTCAGTTGGCCGTAGATCCGTCTGGCATGATGGATGTGGCCTCGATTCCTCTAACGCGGGGTGCTGGAAAAAGGTCTTTGGAGCAGGGCAATCTAGTTGTGACCGCTAAGCGTGCCAAGGCGAGTACCTCTAATGCGAAGGCATGGGATCAACATGGCAAGGCCGTGAAGCAGCCTGACTAGTCAGATTCCATAGTCGTTTCTCCCCTCGCCACCACCAACACTGAGGCTGCCAAACTAGCATTCCACACCGTGAGCGACCAACTTATCATGCCCTCGGAATACACCTGCACTTCTCGTGGGTGCAACAGGCATCTTGCTGGGATCGCCACTCAATTATTTTCTGTGGTTAGTACTTGCATACTTTGGGATGATTTCTTTTGTATGCTATGACTTGACTCGTCAAACATTTGCTTTTGACTCAAAATTGGGTTCTCGCAACTCATTATGTTGAATGATCGCCTGCCCCAGACCGTGGATGAGAATGCGGTGGAGATTGCCAAGCTTAGAAAAAGTGAGAGTGAAGGGCGTGCTGCACTGATGGAAGAAGTGTGTATGGAGGTGGCTCGCGGCTTGGCTTCAAGAGAGGATCCAGCAATCTAGCGAGATTGAGAAGGCCTTGCTGGAGGAGCAAGAAATGCTTTGCAAGGAGGTGGCCGCCCTCAAGCTCGATAAGGTGACCATGCTGGAGAACCGCGAGTCACATTTGGCTGCTGCCCGAGCCAATGCTGGTCCTGCTTTCTGGGAGTCGGAGGAGTTCATTGCACTTGAGAAGGAGAAGTACAAGAACATTGTCGGGAATGTGGTGGCCACCATTCACCATTTATTCTGTCGTGTCGTGAAGAACCTGATGCTGTTTGGAACACGGACAGGATTTGGGATGCGATTGTTGGTTGGACCGATGCAGATGTGAACTCTGAGGCCGATGAGGACGAAGATGAAGAGGATGAAGAGGATGCATTCCGGGGTGAAGAGGGTGACGGGAACGGGAGTGACAGGTCGCAGAGTGTCTGAGGTCTCCCTTGACCTTTCAATGGTGTCCCGTTATTTTGTGATGACCCTTCTAGCGGCCCTTTGTTTGAATGTAAACAATTTTAAATTTCTTGACTTTCGTAGGAGTGGTGGACACTCACTACCTGTTTGTGTTGAAATTTTTTCTTGTCTGTATGTTGTAGTAGTCTATGTTAGGGTTGTTCGCATTTGTATACTATGTAGTCTTTGTGCTCTATTGATTTTGTGCGTGAGCGTTTTGGTGCGAGCACTAGGCGACCCTACGAGAGAGGATTGCCTGCCGGGTAATGATTATAGTGTTTAGGATTGAAGCACGGGTTCATTATTTTGGCATATTCCCTTTAAGTATTTCATGGTTTTGGAAAGCGAAAAAGAAGTACTCTGAGTGTTTAGCCGAAAATGTGAGTGTATTACTTCATTTACTTGGGCAAAAGGGGTTGCTTTGGAGCGACCAATACACTTTACAAAAGTGGTGGGTTTGATAACCTAACCGCTGCGATTCTATCTGCTTCCTACACGATGTTCTTTAAACGCACTCCACAAATTTCCTCCTTATATGCATGGCATTCCATGTTTTGGAGATCGTGACTCCCTCCATAGTAGCGAGACGAAGGTTCTAGTTCCTGTTTTTTCTCCTATGAGGAAAGGTACTTCCCAAGTTGCGGCCACCTTGTCGTGCTCGTCTTTCTTTTGGAAATCCCGCTTGAGAACCATGTCTCCCTCTTCCAGGGACTGCGGCTTCACCCTCTTTTTGTAGGTGATTGCGACTTTGGCTTTCTCTTGGAGGATTCGTGCCATGGCCGCCTCACGCCGTGCTTCCACCATGTCTAACTATGCCAACAACAGGTGGTGATTGTTTTCTGGTTGATATTCTTGGACGCGAAGAGACGATGGATTTCTCTCTTCTGGGGCGACCGCTTCAGAGCCATATGTGAGGGCAAAGGGAGTCTCGCCTATGGCAGTTTTGTAAGTTGTGCGGTGCGCCATTAAGAAATGTGGGAGCTCGGTCATCCATGCCCCTTTCCCGTCGTTGAGGCGCTTCTTTTGTCGTCGTAGGATCAGCTTGTTGGATGCTTCATCTTGGCAGTTGGTTTGCGGTATGCCACCGAAGCCATAGTGCACGTAATGTGGTTCCTGGCACAAACAAATTTTAAATGGCCTACAATCAAATTGAGTTCCATGATCCGTGATGATCGAGTTTCGGATGCCGAACTGGATCATGATGTTGTTGAACAGAAACTTCTAGACCCCGACACTTGTGATTGTTTCCAAATGATTCTGCGTCGATCCACTTTGTGAAGAAGTTGACTGCCACGACTAAGTACTTTTTCCCAAGGGGAGCTAGGGGTAATGGTCCCAAGAGGTCTAACCCCTATCGAGTGAATGGCCGAGGTCCTATCCCGCTTTGCAACTGCGAGTTGGGCATGTGACGTTTCGAGGTGTGGATTTGGCAGGCATGAGAATTTTGGACGACCTCAAAGGCGTCTTTCTTGATTGATGGCCAGTATTAGCCTTGTAGGAGAATGGTGCACTCGAGGGATCTAGGTCCCACATGGGTTGCGTAGGTACCTTTGCGTATCTCGTATTCTCGTTGAGCGTCCATTGTGATTCTTATGGCCCTAGGCACTTTAAGTAGGTTCCTAAGAATGACCTTTTGCATAGCTCCCTGGCCACCATGATGTAGCGAGCGACTCTCCTTCTTAATGCTTTCCTTTCCCATGGGTGATGTGGAGCGATTTCTGGCTCCAATTATTGCATAAGGGGTACCCGCTAGTCTTCAGTTTCATCGATTTCCATAATTTCTTTTTGAGGGGCGACCTCCTTTGTGATAGTGACCTGTCGGTCGCCTTCAAAGTCCATGGCGATTGCCAACTTTGAGAGTGCATCCCCAATTATTTGTCTTCTCGTCGAACATGCTCAAACGTCCACGTGTTCAGTTTTGCAAAAGCGCTTCTGACTTTGTTGGCCAACATGGTGAGAGTTTCATCCTTGATTGAAAACGCTTCGTGAACTTGTTTTACCACCAGGAGTTAGTCAAAGAAGATGAGTACATCATTCACGCCTAGATTGGAGAGGAACTAAGGCCCATTGATTAAAGCTTCATACTGAACAACATTGTTGGTTTTGATATCCCTAAAACGGAGTGAGATTTCAATGACCGCGCCCTCTTGCGTCTCGATCACGATCCCTGCACCTTAGGCGGCTTTTCCTGCAGCCCCGTAAGTGAACAATCGCCAAACTCTGTTGCTGGCCTCCGTAGGAGGTCCTTCAAGGGAGAAGTCTTCGACAACGAATTCTGCGAGCACTTGCCCTTTGATGGCGGGTCAGGCAGCATATTTGATGTCATACTCGCTAAGCTCAATAGCCCACTTCGTCAGCCTTACTGAGGTATACATACTTTGTAGGATCCCTTTGAGTGAGAGATTAGACAATATCGTTATGGGATGTCCCTGAAAATATGGCCTCAGCATCCTAGCTACCGATGTTACGGCTAGAACCGCCTTCTCTACTGGTAGGAATCTCATTTCTCCCGGTAGTAGTGCTTTGCTCACATAGTAGACCAGCTTGTCTGAACCATCTTCTGTACTTCTAAAAAGGACAGAGCTCACGGCTTGCTTGGAGACTGCCAGGTAAAGATCGAGCCGCTCTCCCTGGAGGGTGGCGCTCAGGACTGGTGGAGAGCTAATTTGTTGTGTTAGCAAGGTGAACGCTTTGTCACATTCGGCGCACCACTTCAGTCGGGCTGCTGAATTCTTGAGCACTTGAAAGAAAGGTGAACACTTGTAGGCGAACCGTAGGATAAATCTCCCGAAGGCGGCCATTTTCCCGTTGAAGGCTTGGATTCCATTTATTGACCTTGGTGGCTTCAGGCTGAGCATATCTTCCATTTGCTTTGGGTTCGCCTCGATTACCCTCTTGGTGATCATGAAACCGAGAAATTTACCTGCCTTTGCTCTAAAGACGCACTTGAAAGGATTAAGCCGCAAGTTCCACCGTTGCAAATTCTCAAATGTTTCGTACAAGTCGGCCAGGTGCTCGCCAACCTTTTTACTTTTGACTAGGACATCGTCCATGTATGTCTCCACATTTATTCCCATCTGGTCCTTGAAGACCGCATCAACCATCCTTTGACAGGTGGCTCCAGGCTTTTTCAACCCGAAAGTCATGATGACATAGAAGAAGTTGTCGTGGGGGTCATGAATGCGGTTAGTTCTTGATCGCTTTGCGTCATCTGGGTTTGGTGATATCTGGAAAACATGTCCAGTAAGCTGAGTGCTTCGTGGTTCACGGTCGCGTCAATGAGCTGATCAATGCGGGGAAGAGGGTAGGCGTCCTTGGGGCAGGCTGCGTTGAGATTGATGAAGTCGATACACATCCTCCAAGCGCCTCCGACCTTCTTTACGAAGACGGGATTTGAGATCCAAGTGGGGTATCTCACTTTTCTGATGAAGCCCGCCTTGAGTATGCGACGGCTTTCCTTTTCGAAAGCCATTTGTTTCTCCAACTATAGGTTTCTTCTTCGTTGTTGTATCGGCTTCGCTTTGGCTTTGACGGTTAACCGATGTTCTGCGACCATTCGTGGGACGCATGCATGTCTTCCGGCCCCTACGCGAAAAGATCTTGGAATTCCCAGAGAAGCTTGAGGAGCTTTCGGGCTTATTTCTCTGCCAGATTTGTTGAGATTCGCACTGTCTTTTTGATTGTTCCATGTCTAATGCGACTGCCACATCTGCCTCCAATGTCGTTGGGCGGTGAATGTCCCCTCAAGCGTCGACAAGATTGACTTTGCCTCCTTGTGATTTCATCGGATGCTTCCCATTCGTCCTCCACTACGAAATTTTAACGTTTGCTGGCATGGAGGGAATCGCCTCAAAGGTTGCGAGTGGACAACCTGCCATGTGGAACTCTACGGGACGCATCTTTGTGACTCCCGCTTGGCCTATGGTTACCTTGAGGGTGATTGACCCGAGAACACGCACCATCATTTCGGAGAAGCCTACCAGACTGGTGTTGGAGGGATGAAGTTCTTGGACACTCTTTTTGATTTTCTTGAGCATTGAGTAGAAGAGGATGTCCACAGAGCTTCCATTGTCTACCAGAGCGCAGGTGACTCTAAACTTCGCGGCTAAAAGGAGATGACCAGTGGGTCTTCATCATTTTCCTCTTTGACT